TTCTGGCAGGAATGATTTGACTCCAAAGACCCTTTCTGAAAAGGCTGTTCATCAGATTCGTTGAGGATATGAAAGCGAGCAACAGGCTTTCAGGAAAGCTGATGTGCAATGAACTTTAGCTGAACTTCAGGGGCTCCATAGCTACAAGAACAGAACCGATTCAGAAAAAGCCATCTTACAAGGTCCTTTGGAGTCTTTCCCAAGAAACCTCATGCGTCGGCAGGTGAAAATGCTGCAGGTCTCAGGGCAGATTCCAAATGTCTTGGCCTTGCATTTCTGTTGTGTCCGTGGTGTGGGCCAGTGCTGCTCAGTGCTGCTCTTCCCTGAACTTCAAGGGAATATGAGACATCCTGAGTGATGGACACCACATCCATGCTGCAAGGCTGCCAGAGGTTGACATTGGTGGGAACCCCCAGGACCACACTAATTCAGTGGGTTCAGTACTGATCTCTGGGCTCTCCTGGTTCTCTCTTCCTGGTCCAAGCATGCAGTGAGCAGTGGAAAGGAAGAGATGGACCAGCTGAGGTCAGGTGGGGATCAGGAGCTGAGAACAACTGAGTGGGCAGAGGTGACAACAGACAAAATACCTTTTGAAAAAGACACCCAGCCAGCCAGACTGACTGACTGACAGCTGCAAACCTTGCCAACAGTAAGTCCCACCAGTGAGAAATTGTTGGAGAATATCTCCTGACCCAGGAGGAATCCAGTGAGATTGTACCCCCATATTCTTTGATAAAACATGGGGGGGGTACATTTTGTGAGACCATCTGGGTACAGTTCACAAGTGTGCAAGTGTACATGTGCAGATACATGGCTGTTCCAGTGGATCAGTAGAAAAGATAAAAATTTTAAAGCATAGAACAACATTTAATATTATATTCAATTTACAGCAAAAAGTAGCAGAACATAATGGTTACAGGTAAGGGCAAAATATATCACCTGCAGTATTTTTTTCTGCATCTACACTTGTCAAAACAAATGTTCTTTCATTGGTAGATAGTTAAAAGTTGGGAGATGACAAGAGGGGTCACTTAAGGACATTCATTGTGGTATGAGTGTCTTAAAATATTCATTAACAATATGGGCCACGCTGTAAAAAGTAAGTGGCAACATGTATTATTAATATCAAGTGCCTTAGTAGTCACATTGTCCTCACAAAACAAGAAACAGGAAAAACAAGGCTATATCACCTCTTCTTGGGCTTAAAATGAATGAATCAACTCGTTTCTAAAACCACTGGGAGCAATCTCTCCATTTGCACAGGACACCTCGTCAGTCGTATGTATTCAGAAAAATGGCCCTGAGGTGACCCTAACCCTGACCCATGGTTACGGTTGCTGAATTCTGGGTGTGCAAACATAGCCATGATAAGAAACACACAACCCGGAAAGAGAACCCACAGTCTGTGAAAACTGTGGGTTTTTTTAAGCCATGGGTTGCTGTTATGTGTGTGGGTTGTTTGGCAAGCTACTGAGGTAGCAGGCAAGAGTGGTAACCCTTCCTGCCTACCCCAGCCACTCTACCTAACAGTCCTACAGCTCCAAAGCATTTGGAGGCAGCAAACAGGCAAGGCAGAAAGGACACCGACAGCCCAGGCACTGAGAAAACAAACCACAGTTTATTCAGCAATCAGCTGGACAAATCCTGCATAGGGCAACAAACCCTAGGTTAAATAAACTGTGGTTTAGCGTTTTGTGTGAGCTAAGCTGCACAATAAAATAGTTGTTGGAGAACTAGGCTGATGTTTATACTGCTGCATCTGTAGTGGAACAAGGCATCATACTTCTTCGAACAATGTCCTCTACATCTGTAGTCAATGAACTTCTGGAGGGATTGAAAGGATACAGTGACTTGTGATTTGGAAGGCATGTTTAACTAATCTCACAAAAGATTTACCATTTAGTCAGACCAATTTGGGTTGACTTCACATGTCAAAAACAAGTTGAATATGTTTGTGTAAATTGTTCCAAAACCAGAGGACATTTGATAAAATTAACATGTTGGTCAGGCAAAACAATTTTTTCTCACATACTCCACAACTGATGTATAGTATCCAGCAGCTCAGAGCTTGACAAAGTTATACGGCAAAAGACTATTCGTAGCTAAGCAAGGAAATGCCTGCTTTCTCATGACTTTGCTATTTTACAGCACACAGATTGATTTCCATGGCAAAGAAAACCAAAACCTTGTAACACCTGAAGGCCACTGTGGGCATATTTTCACTCTCACAGCCTGCTGCAAAGGAATAGCAGCCTTCCTCAGTCTGTTACCCTCGAGCTACATCAGGCAACACAGCCTGTCACACCAGCCAGTATGGCAAGTACCTCACTGAATGGGGATGAGGGGAGTCTTAGTCCGATGCCTCTCGAGGGCATTGGGTTGGGAAAGGCTCAATTATGCACTTTTTCCTATAAATATGGGGAAAGTAGCATGCGAAGGGTGTCTGTTTTTCAGCCTGTTGAAAGCTAGGACACAATAAAAGAGAATGGAATGTTCTATTAGTATTCTCTCGTAGATGTTCTCTAGTAAATGTTTAAAATAGCACAGAGAGAGGAAAGCACTGCCTGGGACAGAGCAACAGGGTGGGAACTGTTTATCTGCTCCAACAGAGTTATGTTCTTATAGCAATGTTAAAAAGATGTCATTCTGCTGGGAGGGAGGGAGTGGAAGAACCATGCAGAGCTTGGCGTGACTGATGTGACTGTCGCAAGCACCCTTCTGCCCAGTCTTTCGATACATCCCCTGCTTTCACACGATGACTGCACAAGTGATGGCTGTGTGTGTGTTGCACAGCTCATACCAGTCCTGACCTTGCTGCATGCAGCATCCTGGGCGAAAGAGGTCCCTCTTCAATGTGAAAATAGCTGGATGTGAGTAGAAACCCTTGGCTCACTGTATGTGCCGGAGGGCTAGACTAGAGCTGGGCCCGTAGGTATAATCCTGACTCCCAGGTGGGGAAGAGGTGTCCTGAAGAGCATTCCTGTCAAATTAGTACAGGCACTAGTTGATATTCTAAATATTGGTTTTGCGATCTACTTTGAATTCTGAAGCATTTGTTCTCCGAGTCTTAGCATTACGTTTCTCAAGCATCACTGAGAATCCATATGAACATTATTAAAAGTTTCTTGCAATGGAATTTGGTCTGCTTGGAATATGATAGCAGGAGCTTAATGGTAAAATCAGTAATTACCATATTCATGTTTCATGTAAAATGTAGAAATTGCATTTTCAGTTATTAAAACAATAGCCATAAAACTTTGGAAGCAGCAGCAACTTAATTATACCTTTGCAAGGGAATCGGGAGGATGTTTAAGGGGAATCTTCATTTTGAAAACTGTAATAGATTGCAGAGCTCCTTGCAGCATTGCTTTGAATCATTCATCAAAATGTTTTTAATTTTAACATGTTGTAAAAGATTCAAATACAAGCACTGTAGGTTCATAAATAAGGACCCCCTGGCTTCAGCAGCAATGTCACTGGAAAAACTGTTGGTTGCTCTGAAAATATACAAAGGCCAAACCACAGACAGAATTTGCCGAACACTGTAAACATTCTCACAGTGTGGGTATAAATATCTCCTCTTTGATTCATTGCATGCCAGATTTTCTAGTAAAGAGATAAAATAGGAGGTAAAGAATAAAAGAGTGTTTAAATTTAGCAAAGAAGCTGACAATCAGGAGAGACCAGTAGAAGAAAGAACTTCAGGAACTTCTCTGTCTCTAGGGAAAACCACCATTTATAATGTGTGATAACCATAACCTTAAATAATCTTCAAGTCAGCCAATATTTTCGTGCCAGCAGATCCAGTTAGGGTTTGTAAATAAAAGAGGACCTTTTTTCATCTTGCTCAGAAGCAAATGGAAGCTTTCCCCAAGTACGGAAATCTTGTACAACAGATGATAAGAAAGCCATTTAAAGAACTCCATCCAGTTGAACAGCCAATACAACTGTCAGTGTTCCAAACACAGAATAAAAACATAGCACTTCGTGATTCTGCATTTTATGGGAATCATTTGCTATTAATTTAGACCCATAATCTTTGAACCGCCCAACAGAACGGTGTCAGGGCTTTCCTGAGAAGTAGTGGCAGGTAAGAATCAAAAACACAAGGAACTGGAATTGGAGGAAAAGGAAAATATCAGTTAGGGCCAAAATAGACATTCTGTCAGCTTTAACAGCTATAAATGTTTCCATTTTTATTCTGGAGTCTGCGCATGCTTTTTAGGTCATATTAGCCTGAGGGGTAGGATGGCTTGTGACCGATGTGCATGAATGGGATGGTGAAGTTGCAGCTCTCAGAGCTTGTACATGGGCTAAATGTTACACCAGCTGTTTCATCATCTGTTACCCATTTGGTTTTGTTTCTCTAGGACACTTTTCTAGTGGGTAGCATTATTGTTGTTGTTGTTGTTGTTATTATTATTTTTACATTTCTATATTGCCACACAGCTGAAGCCCTGTGGGGCCCTTACCATTCCTTGTGAGTTCAAAATGGTACCTCAGAAGCATTTTTAACAAGGGACAACTTCAATAAATATCAGGCTGTGCCATCATCAATTGTGGGCTGCCCACACAATCTTCCCCTCTCCAATGACCACAACATCTTGAACCCACTTGACACAGGAGCAGAAACTCACTGCCAGGATCCAAAGCCTTGACCCAGCTCCTCCAATGACAAGCAGCACAATTTGCCCTGGAGGACCAGGATCAGACCCATGGGTACTTGCAAGGATCAATACCCATGAGATTATGCAGTGCAGCTGGGAGGCTTGATAAAGTCTTCATGGTGTTGCTCATCATGACTTTTGTGGTGACTGATTTATGTTCCTGATCCTCGCTGGTGCCTCTTTTTCTGTTACATCTTACCAGGTATCTGGCCTTTGCCTACTCCAGACCTTGTCTTTGGACCCAATGCCTTGCTGGTATCTGACCTTTGCTTGTACTTGACTTTGCCTTTGGCTGTACTGCATCTCACCAGGGTCTTCTCCATCCAGGTCCATCATCCCTCATCCAGGTGCTCCAGCCAGAGAGGTCTGCTGCCTCTGTCATGGACTGGCCATTATACCTGGACACGGAAAGGCAGATGGAGCTGTATGGTCTATGTTCTGGAGGAGGTCAGGCTTAACCGAATTTCCAAGGGATAAATTGCTTGGTAAATGTAATTTTCAAAGATATTTTACAGGACCTGACACTTTTAAGTGGAAAAAGTAGATAGGGTTAAGACTGGGCATTGCATGAAGTCTGGAAAGACTCTCTCTCTTCATGAAATGCAGAGATCCAACAGACTCCCTGCTAGAGGGGCATGAAATGGTGATCTTGGCTGAACTCCCATGCTGCTCCAAAGGCTTTCCCAGAAGAAGCTTCTCAGAGCAGTTTTCTGGGTGGCAAAGGGAAGGAGGAGTCTCAAAGCTATCTCCCAGGGTGCTTCCTCTAGCACAGGAGAACCCCACCAAGCTTCCTTCTGAACTGAAATACAGTTGTCCGAAAGCCCTCTGCAAGACTGCCTGATATACACATACAGTTCATTCTGTAAGAGGCAGTGAGTGTAGCATCATATTCTTTTAGAATATGTAGATAAACCATATTCTCTTTCCTGTAGTATTCTTTTTTTTTTTGCCCTAGCCTAGATTCAGGAATTCTGTTCTGAACGATGCTTCAGTTTGTCATAGTTGAGGAAAAAATAAAGATTTGGAGCAATGTTCAACTCTGCAAATGTGGTTTGACATCTGACCTCCAAAAAGTGCCTTCATACAGGATGATTTTCTGTCTGGACTTTCAGTTCTACGGAAAATAAAGCTCCTTCACTTTACGTGCACTTTCCCATTGGGTGAGTTTTTGTGTTCATTTTGCTACGGGCACATGAGCAGGTGTTCCGTATTGTACCACAGGCCATATGCCTGTCCACATGGTTGCTGGGGAACTTGGGCAGGCAGGTACTGTTGCACTGTGCGCCGCTTGGGGAATTGTGTGGGCAGCTAGCTGGTCATGGTGTGAACAGAAGGCCAGCATGCCTGGACTCCCGGCCTGCTCCAGCAGAGCTCTTTTTAAATTCTTACATCATCTGACAATTTTCACCTGACCTCATACCAAATCACCATACTTTTAGGACTTCAGGGAATTTTGATCCCAAATTTCTATGAAGCAGTTTCTTAACTGGAAACTTGGAGGATGGTGGGGAATCTGATATTCTTGTGTGCTTGGATCACAGGTATGGGAACCGCCTTGAGTTCTTTCTAAGAAAACAGGCAGGATATAAATCTAATCTAAATACATAACTAAACAAATAAACAAGCTATCATGGAGCTGTAGCCTTTCTACCACTTCAGAGGGTACACAGCATATCACTGATTTGAAAGCATAAATATGAACACATCAGATTCTCCCTGGCCTATTAAGAGAGAAAGATTGTGTTGTCTGAACCCACTCAGTGTGGACAAAACGGGGCCAGATGGACCAATGGTTTGATGCAATTGGTAGTCTGTATTCCACGCCAGGGAAAGTGGCACTCCTTAAATATCCTCCTGAAGTACAGCCGTTATAGGCAGAAGAGTCCTTTGGGTAGGATATGCCAATCTAGTCCTCCCCAGCTATGCTCTTTGGATCTTGCTGCTTCTTAAGAAGAGGAAGAGGAAGCAACTACACTCGCAAGCACCTGAGTAAGGCAGTAAGCTGACTACATAAAGGAGATAAGAGGTGGCTGGCTCAAAATTAGCAATAACTGGAATTGCCAACTAATATGGCTTGTTGCAGTTGCTTTTTCACGAATAGAGTAACATTAGAAAAAAAATTAAGGAGCAATCCTATGCAAGTTTAAGCAGGGAAAATGACCTTGCTACTGCCAGCATGCTGCAGCCAAGCACACGGGGAGCTGCAGGCTTTTCTGCCTCAACTTGCATGGGGTGGCATTGCACTCATAATCATGTTTCAGTAACTACGGTTCGATCTCATCATCAGACATTACTGTGGAATTCATCACCACAAACTCTGGAAAGGAAGACAGACGGAGAAAACTTGCTCTGTTAGGAGACCTCCTTAACAGTCTCATTTAGGTGAGTTCACTCCATTTACAACTTTTCTTTAAGAAGTAGTAAGAAAGGTGTTGCAAATGGTAAGGATTCTCTTCTCCTTTGTAGGTAACTGTCTTGTTTAGTTAAAAAATTCTGTGGCCCTTTATATAAACCAGGCTCCAGGGCAGTGTTCAAGCCCATTAGGTGTATCAACTCAGCAGTCTTTGATGCAAGCAAACAGCCAATGATCTTTCCTTTGCCTCCACTCCTGTAATGCCAATGTTAATCATTTGTCTTTCCCTAATCAGGATCAAATTACAGCAAATCTGGACACCAGGAAGAAGAAAAGCCATTTTTGTAGTATTATTAGTGAAAAAATGCAGGTGTTGACCATCACAAGGAAGGTGTGCAGTGAGAACCTCTTCCGCCCCTCCGGTAGCTTTACAGTGAAAGTAAAGGCAAGAAGATGGAGGCTGTTGTTTTACGAGGCACATTACTGAATTTTGCTGAACAAATTGACAAGTCTTGTAAACAGGTGTACCCCAAGATAGTGTTGGCTGCTGCTCCCATGGTTTTCACCGTTGTCTGTGCAGACTGGGGCTGATGAGATTTGTAGTCCAAGGCATCTGCAGCACTATAAATGACATGGCCCTGTGTATATATTATGTGTGTGCAGGGATGGAGAACTTGTACATTGTGATAACCCCTGGGGGAATGCACTGAGTCTGTGTGTGCACTCACACGTGTGCGTACATGTGCATGCATTCTGAGCATGGTAACTTGTTGCGTGCATCAGCATACCTACACACCCTTTGTAGGATTCCTGTCATGGCCTTTCATTTGCTGTATGGGGAAAACTAGAGGCACTCAAGAGGAAGCATGGAAATTATAAACAGATGATGTGTGAAGCAGTATCTGCTGTATGAACTTACACCATGGAAGTGTCAAATTAGCCCACAACTTGCTACAGCGAGCAACTGTTTGCAGAACTCCTTCCAAACCAGTTATAAAAGTTCTTCTCAATGCCATTCTGCCTTAGTGCGCAGACACAAACCCTCTTCCTGTGGCAACAGTTGTACCTGTGCAGTGAAGCCCTTTAGCGCATGTTGTGTGAGGGTGAGGCCAGCAGGGTGTAGCAGGTTGTGGGGAGACAATAAGTGCAGCCCTGCCGCCCCTCCATGCATTTGGGGTACATGTTGAGGTGACTTCCCTATGACAACACACTGATGTATTTAGGACATTTTAGGTAACCACAAAAGAAAGTGAAGTGGATGAACATGAAAACAGAGGGACACCATTTTTATTCTTCCTTCAAGACAGTAGACCATGGATTCACCAAATTAATTTCTATTTCTATTTCTATTTCTATTTATATCCTGCCTTTTTCCTACAAAGGGCTCAAGGCAGCTTTCATCTCCTCCTCCATCTTATCCCCACAACAATAACCCTGTGAGGTAGGTTGGGCTGAGAGTCTGTTACTGGCCCAAAGTCACCCAGTTGGCTCCATGGCCGAGCGGGGACTAGAACCCAGATCGCCTGAGTCCCAGTCCCACGCTCTTAAGCACTGCACCACACTGGCTCGGCCACAAGAAAAGCCTTGCTGGATCAGACCAAAGGCCGATCAAGTCCAACCCTTTGCTCCCACAGTGGTTAACAGAAGTCTATGGGAAGCCACAAGCAAGACATGGCTGCAACTCCCACTTGTGCTCCCCCCAAAACTGGCATTGAGTGGTGTGATGCCTTGAGTAACATTTAGCCCTCACACCTATTAGTCATTGAAAGCCTTGTCCTCCATAATTTTGCCAAATGTCATTCCATGGCACTGAGCTTGAGAATTTCAGTATGGGTGGGTTCCCATGTCACACTAACCCACTCTTTGAATGAGTTCGTGTAGGGAGGGGTGTTCATAAGGCAGCTCATGGTGCTCCTGGCAGTCAACCAGGCTCACTGGAGTTGTCCCCTGTTTCCTCCCCTGGTCCCCTAGTCAGGATCCTGGGAACTTGCCACTCAAACTGCATTGTCTTCTCTCCCTTCCATGTCATAAGCACGAGCAATTTTGCACTTGCTGCAACTTTTCCCCCCACTCCCTTTTCAGAGATTGTTGTTGATGGACAGTGACAGCCCCTCTGAAGTGCCCAAGTGGCACATTGCAGAGTCTATGACTGGTTCATCACACAATTTTTTAAAAGTGCCCCAGGGGTACACAAACATTTTCATGTGCATATGTGCACCTGTTTGTGTGTACTACTGTAGTTTATTTATGGTTTGCTCAATTTCTTTAAGTTGGACTTGTGCAAGTGCATAGTTGCACACCTCTTGTGGGTCAGAAAAGGGTAGCCTCACTTGCACAATATCCTGGTGGAGGGGCTGCTATCTAAGTTCAGCAGGGCCTCAACCATATACTTTGGCACAGAGAAACTCAAAGGAGATTTAGTTTTCATTTTGCTTGTCCTTGATCAGCTGTTAAGGGAAAGCAAAGGTGAGTGATCTTGGTTTGTGAAAAATGAAAAGTTCTTTTGTTTAACTCTGTTTTTAAGCATTCCACATCTTTTCCACCCTTTCTTGATATGCTAGGTGCTCAGGAAGATGGAAAAGTTTGGGCCACTCCTTTCATGGGATTGCAGAGCTTTGACAATTAACTGTCAAATCTTGGCTTCCCTTTAAAATGGTTTTAACCAGCGCTTTTTCATAGGGACTTATATTATGTATGTGTTGTGCCCATTTCAAAGAACAAACAAAAGAGAGCTGGCAATTGCTGCAGAGACTCTGAGCCACTGAAGACTGTGCCACTGTGCGGCTTGGGCAGTGCTGGGTCACTCGGCACTTATGGTGGCCTGGCTAAGCTTGCCAAGAACATCCATGTTTCTTTTTCTGCCACGTTTGCTGAGTGGTTTGCTAGCCACTTCCTTAGACTCACATTGACCAAGGTTCAAATGACACAACATCCCCACAGAGGGATCAACAACTAAAGTTGTCTAGCTGGTTGCCCATGAACAAACCATACTTCAGGAAGCAGTCCAGGTTCACATGACACAACAACTAACTGTGGTTTGTCACCAGGATGGGTTAGCTTATCATGTGAACCCAGTGGCTGTATACTTGGGCTGCAATTCTATACACACCTGGGACTAAGGTCAACTGAATTCAATGGGAGGTACATCTGACATGAAACAAGAACACCAATGCAGAAAGTGTTGTGCCTTGTCAAATTTTATATCACAAAAGCACAGAGACATGCATTATGAAGTGAAATCAATAATAATAGTATTAGCTCCCCTGTATTAAAATTGGGGTAGGGGTGATTTCAAAAACTGACATACTTAGAAGAATGAATTATACATCCAGGAATTTGGGGAAAAATAGTATGTTAAAGGCAGACATGAGACACGCATATACATCCCTGTGTCTGGTCTACCTCATAGCAAAGCAAAGAGAAAAGTTACCCTTTATTTGCTCAGAAAAAATATGTAGGCAAAAAGGTTTCTTGGGTATATGCATAGATGCTTCCATGCAGTGAGGATATGCTAAACTCTATCTATTTAATATTATTTCAGCTGCTGTTTATTTTTGGCTCTTATAGCCACTGCTGACCCATACCCTTCAGTAGATCTCCCCCTGTGTGGCCTAGAAACAAGAACTCCCTGGAGCTAAGAGAAAACACTCAATTGCCCAATCATTTTCTGCCGTGATCTGTGCATCACATGATGCCTGGATGGGTTCTTGGGGCAAATACAGAGCGGCAGGGATTTATCCCGCTTTATCCACATGAGAAACCCTGCATACTTCCGCGGGGTTCAGTTAGCTCCAGGATCAGGTTGGTATAATTTTTCTCTCATTTGCTTGTGGCAGGGCTCCAAAAACTGCACGGAAATCTTAACAGAAGCGGGCAATCAGTGGGGGAATGGATTGCGTAAGGGATCTTTTGGTTCAGCAATATTTTTCTACCCTTTGCTTTGAGATCCTATTTGGAAGCCAAGCTGGTCAGCAGCTCCTCATGGCTACCTCATATTTGGCCAAGTGTTGTTGGGTTAGCTAGATCAGTTGAAAGAAAAGGAAATTGGTAATAGTACAAGCATTGTCCTTTGTCAGAATCTGTGATTGCTTTATTTCTTTGTCTGCAGTGTAGTTTAATTATTTTTGTCTCTGCTCTGCTGACCTTTAACCTTTCACGTAAATTGAATCTGGAATCTAAATATTTTCCTCTTTGACTGTAGGCTTGGCAAAGAGCGTGGTGGAGCAGTGTGGCATCAAGGTAACCTTTCATTAATTTTGAAGGAGGGGGAAGTATTTTGAAAAAGTTCTGACTCAGCTAGACAGTCCTGGGGCACATGCAGAAAAGAAAGGCACATTATTCTGGGAGACAAAAGTGAGCTATCACTTTTCATAAATCTTCATTCCCAAGACAACTTTCCAGCTCTTGCAAAAAGGTTCATTTCTTTGAACCCACATAGCATAAAGCACTCTCCTCTGGTAGACAAAAGGATATTAGCTAACAGTATTTGAACAATGAATACTTCTCATGATTTCGCAGGAAAATAATAGTTTAAACACAGAGAAAGAACAAAGCAACTGGATCTTGTCTTGTTCAAGTCCCATTGACATGAATGGGAGTTATGCAAAAGCATTCCTATTCATTTCAACAGTACCTACAAATTTGGGTGTTGCCCATCAGGCACTGTAACTTTGGAATGCTGTCCCTGAAGAGGTATACCTGGCACCTGAATTGCAATCTTTCTGGCCCCAGGCTAAGATGTATCTTTTTACCTAAACATTTTAATTAATGGAACCTGTCAGTCTGCCTTTGCAATTGAAACCATCACTGAAATAGTTGTTTGTTTGTAGGTTTATTTACTCAACTACAGTCTAATTCCACCTTTTGGACAATTTTCATCTCCTAAAGTGGCTCACAGCAAGTAAAAAAAAAAAAAGCATGGCTTACTGACCGTAATGGGAAGAAACACAAGGAAAGAGAGGGAAGGAAAAGGAAGAGGCTGCCACCCAGCAATACAAGGGCAGAACAAGGTGGTAAGCATCTACATGCACTTTGAGGCAGGCTGATCTTTGGATCAGGCTGGTCTTACTTGGACGGTGGTTGCTGGCTCTTGCTCTTTGGCCAGTGGATGGGGCCAGGCCATTCTTCCTCTTACTTCCCTGCTCCCAGGGCAACTGAGACAATGATTAATATTTCTGGCAAAGGAGGGGAAGCCGACTTTGCACCTGCTCCTTCTCTTGCAGGTTGACTCCAGATTTAGGCAGACACAGCTGGCCTGAAGGAAGTGGACTTCCCTGCCCTGCCCTCCCACAATAGCCACTCCAGCCTCCTGAAGTGTTGCACAGAGGGTCAGGGACTTTCCTGAATGGGGTAGGCAGGGAACAGGGGGGTCTCCCCAGACTGGGCAGGGAAACCTTCTGTGAATGGAGCCTTTCCACCAGTGAACTTCAAAGCCTTGCTCTAGCCTGTCGCCTTTTGTTATAGCCATTGGGAGTTAGGTCCAAGATACAATCCGATTTAAGATGCCCGTAATCTGCTGAACTGAGAGGATTGTGGACAGCCTATGCAGAGTAGAAGGAGCAAGGAGGAGAAGGTTATGCCTGCGGTCTTGCTGTCCTGCAAAACAAGCTGTCCAATTGTCATACCTAAGAGTGCGAGGCAAGGTGGCTGAAGCATTGCCAGGATATTTCAGGCCCCTGTATCCTCCCGCACCCTCTCCCAAAAGCCCATCCTCAAATTCACTCCAGTGACCTTGGTCCTGCAGCTGCCAGTTCTTTCTGTGCTGGCTGCAGCGGGTTCAGGGAGCAGTGCTCTGAGTTTGGAGTGCCAAGCTTTGACCTTAGAGCAATTTCCAAGGTCAGTACTATGAGTACACTCAATCAAATTTTGAAAATAATGTTTGGCTTATACATTGCCTAGAATCACATGCCATGAAGGGTCTGCAGAAATGTTTTAAATGAAATCCAATGTATTAGTTCTGTTTAGGACTCCAAAATGGGCAGTAGGAGATAAAGGACAGGGAAGAACATCATATCTCTTGGAGCCGGACAGCAATCTAAAAATGTAATTCTTCTACTAAACATAGTTCTTAAATTTAATGATACCCTTCCTAGTTGATGCAATTAAGGATCTGTTCCTTTCTCATGTACCATTTGTATGTGGAAACATTTGTATGTGGCCTTTTGAACTGGATAAAATGCACAAGATTCTACACATGCGGGAGAGAAAGAAGTTGAAATTTTAAACATCTTAATGTAGGAGAAAACAGAACTGGCAGATTTGCCTGTTGCTACGCACAGATAATAAGCAAGGGATGGTGGGGGTGGGGAGAGCAAAGGAAAGGGAGGGAGGAGAGGAGGGGTTGTTTAGTGTGCTTCAGGATCACAAATGTGCTGGCCATATCATAGTTCCAGGTCAATGAGACCAATTCCAATATAATCAAGGATCAGTGGACTCATAGAATTCTAGTGGTGATCATGGGGCAAATGTGCATTAGCACGAAGCCCTCCCAAAGTGTAAGAAAACAAAACAGCCTCCACATACACACAAATCCACAGAATCCACACAGGTAAAAATCTGCAGCAGAATCCACAGGCTGGAATCAGAGCAATCTAAACTCATTTGAATATATTGTATATTTCTCCAACATTTCAGCTGTCTGGAATGAACTCTTGTATTGTTCACAACTCCATCTATCCGGGGCTATTAAAACGAATACAGTACTGAAAAGAGCCACTGTCCTGCTGAGTGCCTGGGCCTCCCCTTCCCTATGCTCTGATTCATCCCTTCACTGTGTAAACAAATCAGAGAATGAAGTGAATTGCAGAATTGTTGGTCCATAGGTAGAAGTGTCATTCAACCCTCAGTTTATCATTGCTTGAATTATACACTAATGGACTCAGGAGAGCATCAGTTGAGTAGTTCATTCATGCCTTGAGTAAATGCAGGGGTACACCAAGCAAATTTTCTTTTACATACACTCATGATTCTTCAGTGGATTCTTCATGGGTTTTTTTTTTAAAAATATGTCACAGATGAAAGTTGTACTCTCACGCGCTGACCTCACTACTCCCTTTTCCTCCTGTTTGCACATCCCTGGCTTTAGCATTTCTGTTATACTTTACTAAGTTAAAGTTGCCTTTACATCTGCACCTGGAAACAACAGCTTAACCTTAACTTTCAAATTAGGATGAGAATTGGGATCAAATCTTGGTTTCATATCCTGGCTTGCAGTTGGGTATTAAAACCACAGTGTCCTAGTTAAAATGCAATGGGAAAATGTGACTAACAAACACCAGAAGTATTCTATTACTGCAAGAGAGAGGGAAGTAGAAAAGAACATGTCACTGCATTAATTCTGAACATAGTAAGCCATGGTATATTAAATGGAGACCATTGCATCAGAGATTTGGATGAACTTTTATTAAAGTTTAAATTGTTTAAAGTTTAAACTTAAAATGTGATGCTACTAGGGTTGCCAGTTTGTTTGTTCTACTGCTCTTGTTTCTATGGCTCTGAGAGCAGCCTGCTATGAAGGAATTATTAAGTGGATGAAGCTTTTTCATCTGTTCATCTCCATACCAAATGTTTCACCAAGTTAACATCTGTATGCCAGGCTGCTGCTGCTAGTATTCTTAGTGCTGTAGTTGTTCAATAAAACAGCAGTTCAAGTGGCAGCTTTTTGTATAGCCATCTTGTTTTTAACAGCAATCTGGCAAGCAGAAATTCAACAGGTAGACCTTTTTCCTCACATAAAGAGAAAGCTTTGCCTGATGAATTCCTGCTCTTTACACAGCTCTTTGCACAGCTTTTAAAGTAACAGAAGGTTCCACAACAACAAGAAACATGGCAGCGGTAATAAGGATAGATGCTTTTCAGCTTCTGTGCAGCATCTGGCTTTCCTATACCTCCACTGCTGAAAGGTTGCCTTATCTTCTGCATAATAATTCTTGAAGCTATTTTTCTATCTGTTAATTATGCCTCTAAATCACAGTTTCTTTGCTATCCTTCTAGATTCTCTTCATCACAAAAATGGTTGACTTCCAAGAAGAATTGCTATGCCTGGCAACCATTTTTTGATTCGAGGCTGGAAAAGCTGGGCGTTGAGGGAGAGGAAGTATATAAGGCATCCATAATTTTTTTCCAAAATTCAGAAGGTGCAACCTTGAAGAACAAGACAAATCCACTTCTTGGCTCTCTCACAATACAGAATGACAGAAGTTTTGTGCTCTGTAATAGCAAACACCTATTGCAACCTTAAAGAGGAGCCGAAAACCAGGACATGCCTTCTCTAAGGCTAGTTAGTTTTTCTAGTAGGCAAAGTAGTTCCAGGATTCTATAAATTCTCTGCCCTGTGTAGGACTATTGGTTTATACCCAATCTGACCGATCACATTTAATCAAATGACCAGGTATGTGTTACAAACCTAAAACAGACAATGACCTGATAGATTCAGTTCTCCTTCTTCTTATATACAGCCAATGAGCATCTTGACAATGTAGAAGGGAACAGACTTCAGCTCAAAAGTGCATCCATCAATCCTGCTGATTTCTGGTACCTGCGGAGCCTCGGTATTCAAACTGTGACCCCCCCCCCCCGCCCCATGGGAGGAGGCAAGCAGGGCTCTCAAGCCATTTTGCTGCCAACGGCACCTGACCCTGCCCTGTATCAACATGAAGAATATTCAGGTCAGTCAAGATACTTTGGCAGAAATGCCACAAAGGCCGCTAACCATCCCTGGTACTCAAAATTGACTTGTACTGTGCTCAGTGGCCCACAATTTGTTGTCCTTTCAAAATAGTCAACTATTCACTCTGCCTTCTGGTAGGAAAGGCCCCAGAGACCCAGTGAAGCTAAGCCTCCTTCCCCAGTGCTCAATGATGTCTAGTCCTCATGGCAATTTTGCCTTCTGAAGGGCTGCATTTCCAGTGAACAAACCAGCCAGTGAGACTGTGGCCACCAATCTCAGTGGCAGCTCTGCTGACCCAGCCTGACATGCTGAGCCCCAGATGGGGAGGATTGGGAAGGCCAGCTGGTGGACACCTTCCCCCATCTCAGTGGCATCAACTGTGTAGGTCAACCCCTCGCATATTAGCAGCAGTGACGGCCTGAATAAGAGCCCACTGCGGTGGCAGGCAGCAGTGGAACAGGGTGTTTGTACTTTTTAAATATTTGGCCCCTGTTGGGGTTGCTCTGGTGATAAATGAATCTATCCAGTTTGCCCCTTTCCAAATATGGGATTGTTAAGATTTCAAGCTCTTTGTCCTGAATTTAGAAAATTTTGCAAATTTAGACAAAACCAAAAACCAAACAGAAACAAAATTCTTACTCATCCTGGTGTGCCTTTGCCAGTATGTCTGCATGTAGCAGTCTTGGTATAACAAGTAAGAGGAGGGGAACAGTAACACTAATACCCTCAAGTTTATCTTTCTAGGCATCATGCATGTCTAAGCTCATTGGGCATCCCCCTGCCAGGAAATGCAGGGGTCCCAACAAGACCTGTGCCTGCAATGCGTGTTCGTGTCAGGATGGCATACAATTCCTCATGCCTGCCAGTAGAAATGAACATTCCTGTCCAGGCTTTGATGGTGCATCCACCCCATGAGAACAAATGGCGACACAAATAGCGCATCGCAGTTGGGGTTGCGGGGGGGGGGTGGTCTTGAGCACACGCAGCTCTATCACTTCCTAGTCTCATGTGGGTGAACTGCAGATCTGAATCCTTGTTCTATTTCATTGCTGAAAGGCTCTGCAGACAGACTCCATGAACAACTGAATAATGGTTTCCATGCTCTTAAGAACATGGTAAAGCATACATAAATAGTATCATAAAATAAATATATTTGCTGCCCGTTACTTGTGAGTGATAAATGGGCTGGGGTTATTGAAGACAAGGATGTGTCAGACTATTCTTAATTTGGAAGAAAGGACGTTTGTTTAGGAAAGACTAAATCCTCCTGTTGTAAATCTGATGTCTCACTATTCCTTTGATTTTTGCAGAGATGCCAGCACATGCACGCGCGCACCCGCGCACACACACACACACACAGAGGCAGGTCTTCTGAAACTGGCCTACAGAAATCTCTGCAGAGGGAGGTCAGCAAAAAGGCAGTGGCTAAGTGTTTTCATTAGAGCAGATTGAAAACACACAGGGTGAGATAAGGGAGATTCATATGCTCTGTAGATTTTAAACAAGTATATGAGTCACCAGCCAGCCATTTGGTAAGCAAGTATCTTTCGCTTTCCCAGCAGTATGATAAAATATGGAGGTGGCGGGGGTGGGGGTGAGTCTTGGCCTTGACTTAAGAAGGGTAAGATGTGTGAACCAAAAAAGTTCCCACCAAGCTAGAAGAAAGGCCAGGCAGCCATCTATTGCAACCCTCTGCCAGACTTGTGTAGTTTTTCTTGCTTCACCTCTAATGCTTACTGTTCTGTGGTTACTGAAGAGAGAAGAGTTTTGCAACACATAAACTGTCCACCAAATGGCAGATGTGTCCTCAGTTAAGGTTCAATCAAGAGCATGGAAATTGGATCAGGAGCAATGAAAGGTTAGCCTGTCGCTTGGCTGCCTGGAAACTAAATATAGGCCCTGGACCTGAACTAACATGAGTCCAGTTATCTCATAAATGGGAAGAATCGGTGCTGCTGTGACACAGCGAGATTGCCAGCAGCAGGCTATTTGCGGAGTGCAGAATGAAAAAGCTCTTTGGCACTCAGAATGCCGACAGAGTAAACACAGCTAGATCCCAATGCAAGCTGGAGTACTAGTGCTGGCTCCAGACAACACAACAAGAGTTGTTATGTCCAAGTAAACTGCCCTGAAGTGCGGGAATGAGGCTGCGGGGTGGGCATGGGGTAACACTTGAGCTCTTGACTAGGGGAGTAGTTTCACTCCAGGGTAGTAAATCCATGCAAGGGAAAGCCTGTGCAGTGCAGTTCTGATGGAGACCCTCCCCACAGCTTATCTTATTTCATGCCACTGCAGGACCGGCCCTGCAGAATGCGCTGAGGCAGAATGTGGAGGGCCCCTCAGGCCTTCCTCACTGGGCTTCCTGAGCAGCCAAGCCATTTCCCTCTCTTGGAAGACAGGGACTCGACTGGCACGATCGCTGTGGTGATCATCATGGTGGCTTGTTGAAGCAGCCATCATGAATATTGCAGTGGAGACTGTGAGGCTTATTGTCTAAATCCAGACTGGGTGGGTTGTTGGCCTGTGTAACCACCCACCTATTACCCATGGGCTGTTTGAGGGTTGTGAGAGCTTTGACAACCCACAGTGGGCTGCAACAATAGGGCAAACTGCTTCACTGTCTATGTTCTGAACCCCTCAAGTTAGCCTGGAATAAGAATTTGTAAATATTACCCACTGGGGGCCATTTTGGACAATTTCCATATGGGTGGGCTAAACTTGGGACCATCCTTCAGGGTCACCAGTATTGGAAGATTCTTACATTCGTTGCTGATGAACATCCTCAACACACAAGGTCGCAATGTTTGTGGATAGTGGGAATGAATGTGGTGGTGGTGTGTGTGTGTGTGTGGGGGGGGGGGGAAGCACTGTTGATTTTATGACCTGCTGATCAGCTTAACTGAGGCAATTGGTAATCACCCCATGCAGGATTTGAAGGAGCCTGATTAGTCGAACAAACGCCATTTGCTTTTTGTAAAACGGCTTGCCTCAGAGAGGAAAAGAAAGGCAAAAGAATGTTGATAAAGGGAGACAAGGAAGTAGTGAGTGAAGAAGACCCCCTGCGCAAGATCTGGCACGCAGTGATCACGCTGCCCCTGTGAAGGGATTGGACGTAGATAAGCGCCTGCACGAGGCCAGGCATGCAGCAACATGCAGGCCCCGCAAGGGGATTGGGGGAAGGGTCAGGCAGGCCCTGAGAGGGGACTGGGTGAAGGAACAATGGAGGTGAGATTGTGTGAGAAAGAGTAAGGAAAAGCTATAAGAAGGCTGAGTTGGAAGACTGTGTGTGTGTCGCTTCCTGCCTGCGTGTAGGGAGTGGACACCCGGTTGCTTTGCTCAGCTGAATAAAGAAAACTGAACAGATCTCTGCCTGACTGAACCTCACTGACACCTGGTTTGGTGGATTTGTAGTTGCCTGGCTGGCAGGACACCTACAGATTAATGGTGCAATCTTTTGCACACTTACCTGGAGGAGGCCCCATTAAAGAAAGCATGAGACCAAACTTTCCTGTGCATAGCAATATGGAGCAAGGGGGTCCAGGCATGACACAAACGCCAAGTGCCCCTTGCCCAGGCACCGAGTCAACATGCGCAGGCCGGGGCCTCAGGATATGCTTCTGAATGGTTCTTACATTCTCTGTCCTTCAGACTGGCAACTCACTGTGGGGTTTTTTTCTTTTACAGTTGGGCTAGGTGTTTTCTGAAGGACCAGAAAAAGAAAAAAAACAAAACAAAACTGGGAAGATTCGGGGAAATGTTTTCCCATTTTTTTTCCCAAGGACCATTTTTGTTTTCCATAATATTGAGCAGTTTAGGATTATGACATCTTTTCTTTCAGAATGATGAATAAAATATTTAAGACAAGATTTTATGTATTGTTACTCAGCTTTTATAGCTTCCCAAATGATTTCTAAAAACTATATAACAAGCAGGTATATAACAAAGTTGGGGATGAAATAATGATACTATGGATGCATTTTCTTTAAAACATTCTCTGGAAGATTCCCAGTATAATTATTGCCCCCATTCTTTTACTGATAGACATTTAGGGATGCTTATTCTCAACATGTGAGTAGAATCACCCTATTATAATACAGAAGAAAATCTGTGTGCTTGAGAGAGTGAGTTTTATTCTAAAGAATCCTGTGTTTCTGGGCCATCTCCTTGCAGAAACACTTAATCCATGTAATTCTAGTCTAAAACCAGATTTAAAAGATACACTGTAGGTTATTCTGCTCTTGCCACTAGACCAGATATGATGGATTAATCAGTGTGTGGGTTATCCCTGCTGTGTTTCTTTAAAATACAAACAAGCACCTAATGTTGCATTTGAATGTATAGAACTACATGCCACAGTTTCTGATAAAGTTTTCAGTTAGATCCAATCATTAGGAAATTTATTTATGTATTTATACTTTATTTTATATGCCACCTACTACTGTATTCTCAACACTGATTACAATATACCTCAGCTACATATAAAGCCCTTAAACAGCTGCCAGTAGAATGAATTCTCACTGGTTGGTTCCCATGGCACAGGCATGGGATAGACATGACCACTAGAGACTACTGTTCAAATGAACAAAAATTAATGGGGATTATTATTGACAAAAGTTAATATAATGTAGCTCTTGAAATGATAGATTGCTTAGTGATTCTAAAACAGAGATTATTTAAAGATGGTAGGCATGTCATGAGTGGAGCTGGTGGGAGCCGGGGATAAGACTAGATGGCCCAGGAGACCCCCTTCTCTTTCACTCTATGTTTCTATTCTAAAATTAAATATGGTTGTTTACTATTCATAAGCCAAGCCTTTCCCAATAAAATAAAATTTCAGTAGCTTTTTCTTTAGATG